CGTGATCAGAGATGTGAATGAAACCTTGAAAACATACCAGACATGGACGAGTCACTTTCTCGAGTCACTTAAAGAATCATCTAGAAGTCTTTCTCCCTACAACGTTTCGAGCTACTTTTAGCAGCGTTCGATTCAGATTTGTTTGGGCTATAAAATGATATACCGCTATAAATTTTGCCGCCTTCATAGATTCGGTCTAGTCCCTGAAAAGCAACTGACTCGAGTTTGCGATAAGTTTCAGTGACTTTTTTTTTAAGTAACTCGCCCATCTCTGAAACATACTGTTTTACGGTTATCGATATTTTTAACCACCAAATTTATTCTCTTCACGGAAAGTGTAGGGTCATATGAAATAAATATCGGCGTCGGCATCCACATAAAATAAAAGCGCAATAACTATTAAAATGTAAGATTCTAAGGGATGATGGTGATACAATGTGGATAATCGAAAATGACGAATCAGAAAAGGCCTAGGAGCTAGGGTTCCAGGACTAATCCTATTAGTCGAATTACGTTTTTTAGCTGATTGGATGAAAATGATGAAGACCAAGTAATCGACCACGGTGAAACCAAAAATGACTATGAGATACCTGTAGAGGCGATTCTATTGGTCAGATTTTTTCCTAAGAGTCAGTACATGAAATTTTCTTCGTAATTTCACTGTTTCGCATTCGTTTTTCAAGGGAAAAGCTTCATATCAATCAGGATAGTAAAGCTGACAATTCTCCACAGACTTATGCAAAAATTTTCTGAAAACCCATGTTCGTTGAAAAAATTGAATGTGCTTCTTGCGTTCACTGTCTCCATTTTCTTGTGTAACAAATTCATTAAATGAAAAAGTCTGATGTAAATAGGAGCGAAATGAAATTTCATGTCCTCTCTTTTTTTGAGCATGCTACTACAGAGATAACACTATTGGAGAACCTCCATCATGTAGAATTCTGAATATCTCTGTAGCTTAGTTCAAAAAAAACAGCTCAACCTAGACTTCCAGTCAAGGAAATAAATTTGGTGCTGAAAAATATCGATGACCGTAAAACAGTATGTTTTCGACTTTTCATTCACATCTCTGATCACGAGAGCATGAACGTGAGAGAAAAGCTTTCAAATTTACTTATGTTACCCATGCAGTTTTTCCAGCTTAAGAGAATTTCTTTCTCCTGAACAGAAAAGAAAACACGAGAATAAAGCACTTACATGAATCATTTGAAATAAAATAAAATTGGCGTAAAAGCAAAATTATTATATGTGAGTAGGATGGATTAAAGGTGAAAGAAAAAAAATCGTTTTCTTTTATTTTATGATGCTACGAAGAAAAAGGATTTTGTGTTTGCTTTTCATTTCTTCTCTTCATGCGTACGTATATGGGAAAAAATGCATCAGTAATTACGCAAGTAATATCCTTGAGAAAAAAATAGAATTTAATCAATTTTTTTATATACTAATTAAAAGAAAAAAATGGTTATTTGTGTACAACTAAAAGGTCGCATAATCAAAGATATGAGCGAATCGTAACTTTTCTGTACAGTTACATTTTTTACGCATTTTTACACTCATTTCCGTTCCTATGAACCGATTTCTAAAATTTTTTTATTCTCTTACTTGCATTTTGGCTCACTACCACAGAAAATTTCGCAACGATATTTCATCAACTCACTGAGATGCATGGGTCAAAAGTCAAAAATACCCGTTTTTTTCGATGACTCATCCACAGAAAATGGATTTTTTTAAGGAAAGAAAGAAAGAAAAATGAAAAAAAGTAGCACGTTTGGTAGAGCTTGCGATTCTCTATCCAACCATATGATTTACTTCTGGTTTTGTTTACTTTTTCCTTCTTGTACATGCACAAAACACATTTACGCACAAATGAAGCTACAAATCAGAAACGGTTCTCGCGACTTAAGGAAACATTTTTCAGAAAAAATAAAGTGACCAAAAGTTAGAGCGTAAAAAATGGTTTAGAAAATTGTTTATAGTTTTCGTATAGAGTCTCCTTCGAATAACAAAAAAATGTGAAACGACTTTTCCACGCACTTTGAAGCTACAAATTTTCGAAATTGTTTCCTCTATAACTCTCGCAGGACTCGTTCGATTTCACTCAAACTTTTACCATAAATAGCTTACAAGATCTTCTAGGAATGACTGAAATTTCAGCTTTGTACTTTTCTATTTTGTTGTGAAATTTCACATTATACTGCAGAATGAAGCTACAAATAAACGTGAAATGCTGTAGATAAAACGAATTTCGATCGAAATGTGATTAGCTAGGCGGCAAAACTTGAGGTCTGTAATTTACGACTGCATAAGATGAGCCCAAGCTTTCAAAGAGGTGTAGTTGCACAAAATTCAAAAGTTTCTCAGCATTTTTAGGCATATAACCAAAGTGATAGTGCCTCTTTATGAGGTTCTTGGAAGAAAAACGCGTTTTTTGAGCTTTTCGCGATTTTTTTTCACGCACTTCGATTGTTAATAGTCCAGTTGGATTCTCCGCGCTGAGATCTATCTGTTGATGTGTCATACATGTACTTGCACGCGCATTGTAGCGCAAAGTCTGGTAAAAAGTTTTCTGCGCCAAAGAACGCAAGTTGTTTCTCGGATATCTCAGCCAAAATGAGTCCGGCAGTTGGGAAAGTTTTACCACAGATTCAGTAAACGATGGGGAATAAGATGTACGCTTCAGATTTTTTCTAGATACACTTTCGTTTTTCTTACCAATTGTACAAAAAAATTACGATTCGCTCATATACGTGCGCGAACTGCATATCGAAACTTGAGCCTCGCGGATTTTGTTTTACTTCTCTAGTTCGAAATCATTCCGGCAGTAACGTTAGACTGTGTAAAGTGGATTAGAGCGGTACCAAATATGAGACATCTTACTTTTCTTCCATCTCGCACGTCCTATGCATTTCTCTTTCCTGTATGTTTTGGTGTGTGTGTGTGTGTGTGTGAGTGTGAGTGTGAGTGTGAGCTTTTATTTTATCTGGTGTTACATTCAAACAAGCTCTAGCTTTCTTGTAGTTTCCATGTGTTCTTTACAAAAATAAATTCATTCATTCATTCACGAAAGAAGAAAAAGTTCAACATCTTCGCGCGCCCCGAACACTAGCGACAAAAAGCAATTTTTCTCAGTTTTTTTTGTAAAAAAAGCCGTTAAGTGCGTTTATTGTTTTAGTTTCCATCTTCATACCCGAACAATCGATTTCAAAGGCAAGATAAGTTTGAACAATGGCATTTGATATTAACTTTAGTAAGAACAACGCTGATTTTTTATAATTGGCATTTTTCATTATTTTTATAAGTTATATTTTTTGAAAAGTACGCAAAAGTCGTGGATAAATAGAATTATCTATAAGGTTAGGGTTATTTTGCAGAAAATATTTATTTAGCAAAACAACGCAACAAAATTTTGTTAATCAACAAAAAATGCGACTAATACAGAATTTTCTAGATATTTTGTTGTGAAGTTTTGCAAAACTTCACAACAAAATATCTAGAAAATTCTATGTTAGTCGCATTCTTTTGGAGAATTTTCTGCGAAATCTGTTATTTTTTGCGTGGTTTTAATTTATAACGCAGAAATTCTGTGGACAATCGTTACATGAGCATAATAACACAGTTGCGGTGCCACAGTTGAAACAAATTACTGAAAACTTCGTGACACGACATTTCCGCGAAGACTTGTTTATTGAAAAAGAAGAATAAATAAGTCTGGTTTTGTATTTTGCATATCATGTTTTCAAACTTGAGTGAAGTTATGTGGTTAATAGTCATTATGTGATACAGTTACAGATATCCAATTTCATTGCTTATCGTGTTTGACCGGTTTTCTCTTCGGTACACGATAAACTGAAGCTCACTGTTTATCAGCATTGGTTTGTATATAATCATGATTTTTATAGCAGTGCAGAGCCCGTGACACGACCTTTCCCACGAACAGAATCCCGGCTCTTCCACGAATTTTTCATAGTACACATTTGGGTATTTTTGGCAGCGTATCTGTAACTGTATCATTTAGTGACTATTCACCACATAACTTCACTCAAGTTTGAAAACATGATATGCATAATACAAAACCGGGTTCATTTATTCTTCTTTTCCAATGAACAAGTCTTCGCGGAAATGTCGATGTATCGAAAACTTAGAGTGTCTTGGGGTAATTATGGTCAATTGAAAGGTGCGCTGGAAGTTCATTATTATTAATTAACACTAATGAATTTTAAGAAAATTTTTACATCAGTTGGTAGTCGTAACCGCTAATTACCTGTAAGATATCGCTTTTCTCGGATAAAAATTGACCGAACTATAGCAGAAATACGACGAAATTTGCTGACCTCACCATAATTACCGCGAGGCACTCGATTGTCAGTGCGGTTCGTTGTATGTCGGTGAGAGTGAGGACTTAAAAAAACGATTTAAACAATACGAAAGATGTGTTACTAAGGGCAAAGTTGACATTTCAGAGATAGCAAAACATTCAGCTTCTTGTAAAACTAATAAAACTAAATTTGACGAGAATGTTATTTTTGGTAACCAAAAAATCTGCAAAAGATGGGTACACAGTGTATATTCGTTAGTCAATCAATCATACAATAAAAGAATAAACATTAATCAATAATGGAGACCAACAATAGAAAAATGGATTAAAAAGAGAGCGGTGTAAAAGGAAGAAGAACAAAAAGATGAAAAAGAAAATAATAATAATAAAAAGAAAAGACAACAGCTAAGAACTCTAATAAAATCGTGGAGTATAGAAAAAAAAAATATTACTATTTAAGAAAACAGAAGGGGAAAACGAGTAACTGACTTTAGTATGATGTTTGCCTAATTAAAAATGACTTTAGTTGTTATTATTTAGTTTCGTTTAATTCTAAAATCTGTTGTTTTTCCAATTTCAGTTCCAGTTTCATGGCCCGATTTTGAGACCAAAAAAGCTCGATTTTGCTTGCGCCTAAAGAAGATTTATTATTTTCTTTTTGAGATTTTTGTTCATGGCTCTTCAAATGTCAATACAAAATTCTACCATGCTAAAATTAGAAAATTTAAAGTTAATATGGCTCGATGAAAATTTTACCGACACAAGCGAAGAGCATTGTCGTTTATTATTAGTTCGCGGCGAAAAACTTATTCCGTATCGAACAAAACCATTTACAGAATTTCAATTATGTTACAATTATATTTCATCACTTGATAAAAATACTTCAAAAATGTTTTTAGTCGTTTCCAGTTTATTAGAAAAGAAAAAAAGGATTAAATTTTCTAAGTTACCACAAGTCAAGCCTATTTATCTATTTAATTCATATTCAGAAACTAATCATCATCCGAAACTGTTATATAATCCAAATACAATCGATTTAAGAAGAGATTTAGAATTGTCAGAACAAATGACACCTCAGATTGAGCCCGATGTCTCATTTTCGCACGTAAATCCGGAAACATCTGTTTTACAACAAATAGTAAAAGAAATTCTAGTTCGATTACCCAAAAATGTACAAGCTAAACAAGATCTAATAGAATGCTGCGAAAGTTTTTATAAAACAAATCCTGCACAATTGAAAATGATCCATAATTTTAACGATGAATACGATCGGTTTACACCCTGTAATTGGTATACACGACCTAATTTTCGTCTTCATTCTATATTAAATAGAACGTGTATATCTGAGAATATTGACTTGATATTTAAATTGCGTTATTTTATTAGCGACCTGTACAGTCAACTAAAATATTTATATTATCAACAATTGTCTAAACGACCATTATACACATCTGTTTATCGAGGTAAAAGGATGACAATGGATGAATTCCAAAAATTAAAAGATAACATAGGTGGACTCATATGTACAAATTCATTTCTGTCAACAACAACATGTCGTGACATAGCTTTGATGTATTGCGGTTCTGATATCGAAGAACTAAAATCTCATAAGAAAGTCAGTGTTGTTTTTAAGATAGAAACAGACACAACAAGCATGATGACAAAACCATATGCCAATATCACCCAATGGAGTTTCAAGCCAGATGAAGAGGAAGTTTTATTTTCGATGGGAGCGATATTTAAAATAATGGCAGTTGAACAAAGTAACGTAAGTTTAAAAACATAGCTACACTTCCTGTTCTTCACTTGATCTATGAAAAAATTAGCGTTTTTTTTACTCATAACGAAAGCTTGGGATAATCTTAGTGAGATCAGCTTTCGAAGTCCACTAGCGTCACCTTATAGAGTGTACTTTAAGTCACATATAAATGTTCGTCGAGTTTTTGAGAAATATAAGACGCACTCGGTGTAACTGGTAAGATTATTTAAAATTCCACCTTTGACAGTGATATGCATCTTATAAGAAAACGATAAGAATTTCATAAGAATAAAATCTAGAAAAAATTCTTGTCTAACATCAAATATTATACGAATGGTTTTGTCGTTGGTGTCTACTATGATTGTCCAAGTTGCTTTCTTTTCGCTAAAAGAAGTTCTTCAGAGATAGGAAGTTCATCAGATGAGAGTCAAAATCTAGTGTCCCTTCTTCGCTTATAATAATCCTTTTCAGAATCTCACATAAGACTGTTAAAGGTTTACCAGTTAAACAGGGTGGTCCAAAAAAACTTACCCCCTCTGTATTTATTGGTTCTCCTGTGAACAGATATAATTGAACTTTTTACTATTAGTTTAGTCGAGTAGAGCAAAGATTTCTGGACAAAATGAGACGTCTCCAAGCGCTGCACAACATTTTATCATCAAACCGCAATCAATTTACGAAAGGTCTCGAAGGTATTCTTTTTTGATATTATGCTGATTTTGCTAGTTTTGACAGTACGCGACACTTCGTAAATTGAAAGCAATTTGATGAAAAAATATTGTGCAGCTCTTGGATGCGTCTCATTTTGTCCAGAAATCTTTGCTCTACTCGACTAAACTAATGGTGAAAAGTTCAATTATATTTGTTCACAAGAAAGCCAATAAATACAGAGGGATAAGTTTTTTCTGGACCACCCTGTAGCAGAATATTCTCCATAAGAGTCGGCTAAAGAAATAGAGAGTATAATACTACTACATATTCTCTATTTCTTTCGTTATTTACAACCGAGTCGGCTAAAGTTTTCATAAAATCACTGTGGCAAATATCAGCGAAAACTCTCATTTTCCACTTCATTATATATTGCTACCCAATCACAACGACCTAAATACGATTATAGATTGTAGCTTATTGATGATGAATCAGAGTATCTGAAAAATTTCAGAAACTAAAATCTACTGTACACAGAATCTTATATAATTATAGAAATGCAGGATTTCTTAGTGAAGTGTATGGTCTGTCTAAGAAGGTCACCTGTTGCTACTAGTCTTTCCACAACGTAAAGATTTAAAAAGCCATGCAGTTTTTTCCTGAAACGTGTTTAGATTTTCTAGGATAATATTTGGGGAATTCAACTAGCCCTTGTGAAGGAAGAAGAAAAATTTGAACAGGGTATAATCAATGATTGTTTAACACGGATTACAGTCCCTGAATTTAGCAGGCAAACGCGTATCATCAAACGACTTAGTACGGCACTTAAATTCAAATGTCAACTCCCGATCAAATCAGCTGGCCCTGTCGATCCAGCAAATCTGCTGGACTGGGAAGCTGTCATTTTCGGTCCATTAAATACGCCTTATGAAAACGGTGAATTTCGAGTTTCAATTTCATTTCGAGAAATGTACCCGCTTTGGCAACCAAAATGTTCAATGAAAACGACAGTATATCATCCAAATATTTCTGCCAGTAATGGCAGCATATGCATGAGGTCACTCTCAAATGCAGGATGGAGGCCTGCAATGACAGTGCAAGAAATACTATATGGAATTTATGATTTGTTACAAAGACCGAATGGCGATGATTATTTAGAACAAGATATAGCAAATTTACTTAAACAAAACAAAGATGAATTTAATCGTCGAGCTAATGAATATACAGTCAAACATGCAATTCCCAGCATTAGTAAGACATTCGGTAAGAATAGTCTTTCATAGTTTGCTGTTTAGATTTGAACTTAAAATAATCAAGGGAAAAAACGGCCAGGTTTTTTTATAGCCTTAAAAAGAGGTTGAAAAACTGGAGAGGACTCTTTTAAGTTTTCTTTTGCACCTCTACACTCTTTGCAGAAAGAATATTGCTTCATTCCATAGTTATAAGTATAATACCCATTTTCGAAAAACCCTTGTCACGGCAGCCCCTATTGGGGCTAAAGTGGTGAAACTCCTCTAATTAGTTAGTCTTCATCCTCATGTTCAGATCAATTTGAATCAGCCACATGCCATGGACTCTATTACGTATACAAACCATCATTGAAGAACATGTTAGCGGCAGACGCGTTGTTACCTACAAACACATGTAAGAGGACTCAACGCCAAATTTAAGAGAGTATAAATATCAATTGAAGAAGATGTAAACACCACAGTAATGAAGTCTAAATACCAATTTAAGGAGGTGTAAACGCCAGTTTAAGGAGCTGTAATCAACAATTTAAGAACGTGTAAATATCGTCTAGCGTATTGTAGCGTAGGTTGAAAAATAGCCGAAAACCACGAGTTTTTGAGTATGAAACCTCAATTCCTCCTTCATATGGAGGCATAGGAGGAGTTGCACAAAAAGCGCACTGGGAACTCTCGTTTGTTTCCATGTGAAATCGGAATCAATAAGAAACGACAGAAAAGAACGGAGGAGTGTAAGAATAACAACACGCAGCTTACTGTGAAAATCGAATCAGTTCTTAAAAAAATGTGTATAGGCTTGCTGGATCTGGCGCATTCTCGATCAGAATACACTTCTCTGTATATCGTTATCTCTAAACATGTTGGGCCTCAGAACCAAAACTAAATAACATTATGAAATTCATGCAGTTTTTATATCAAATATCATATTTGAAAAAATAAACCCGACCACTTTAGTTTTCGATGAGTATTAGTACAAAGTGTGAAGAAGCGTACAAACAAACTATTTCTAGAGAACTCGAGAAACAGCATTCATGCCGTATGTCTTTTGACCCAATGCACGCAGTTAATCGCAGCTCGATACCAAAAACGCGATTCTTACTAATGCGATCGCGATCACAAATTCAAATCGCAAACAACTGCGTGCATTGGTTAACCACAGTGTCCTAAGAAAACACGGTTTTGGATATGAGGACCGCGATTTAGTAGGGTTTTTAGGGAAAAAACGAGTTTATACGCGTTTTTGGAGCCTAAAAAATACTCATGGGTGGCGCATTCTCGATCAGAATACACTTCTCTGTATATCGATATCTCTAAACTTGTTGGGCCTCAGAACCAGCAAGTAGCAGTAGTGAGATGTTGCGTCAAATCTCGCTGTCATGCTACCCCCCATCCTGACACACACACATACAGCTACAGATAATGCACGTATGTCAAATACAGCTCTGTATCGCAAAAAATCTCAAAGACCTGCGCATTGAGATATGTGGCTGTGTATATCTAAGTGTATTCTGGTCGAGAATACACCAGACCCAGCAAGACGAGCAATATTTTTTAAAAGCAGTTTTCGAGAATATCCTGCATATTGGTATTCTGACATCTCTGAAAGAACATGACGTTCTCTAGAGATTCTGAGAAACTGACTATAATTTTTCACGAAAATTGCGCATACTTTCGTTGATTTTAATCTACATTTTTCCTTAGAAATTGGAATTTTTAGGTATTTTTCTCTTTCTTTTAATGCAAGGAAAAATGTTAAAGCTAACATTTTAGATTTTTTTGAATCGTAACTTTCGAAGAATCCACAAATCGGTACAACTGATCGATTCGTTGATTTAATCGGGTTAAACTTTTTCGATGTGCCGGTTCACTGCTTTTTTTCATAGTTAATGTTGTCATGAGAATTTGTGAACCGTAGTTGACAGTTTTTTCTACCCAGTATCACATCAGAATTTTTGCAGCACTGACGAGGGAACCACCCAAGGTGATAAATCGATTTCAGGTTGGAACTATGTTTGTTAGAAAGGCCCTACCGAGTAGTGAAATACCCTATCTTGGTTCATCCCCATGGTGCTTCCTGGCAGAGTTATGAATTTTTCAAGTTTTCACACAAAAACTCAGATTTTGTCGAAAAAGTTTCATTTCTCGGCTCCTAGAAGTCTAATTGGACTCATAGTTTTTATATGAGTAGTGGTCATGTACCTAGTTATTATCTGTAAGTTTGAACCAATTTGTCCAAAATTTCAGGGAGATACGAATTTTTCATTCGAACGCATGCTAATTTGCCTTACTCCATGATAGCCTGCTCGATGATGGAAGCTTCGATTGAGCTCGTATTTCTAGCATAGGCAGGACTAGTCATCAGCAATATATGATAAAAGTTTCGGCTCATTTGCTTCTTTCCTTCAGGACAAAAAGTTTACTCCCTCTTGAACAATACTTATTCTTTTCCCCATTCTATTTGAAAGAATATTATCATTTTGACAAGCGCACAAACACGAACGATAACAGGTTAAAGAATCATTAGTTATTCGGGCCAGTTCAGAGTACTTGGAGTTTTTCGGAAGTAAAAAAGGCACTTATCAAGTGATTTAAGGGATACAAGTACTTGATTAGCTTGACAAGTACTTAAGGAAGTACAGCGCAAGTTATATGATAAGTACTTGCAAATTGTCTGCAAGTGTTTCAGGTAGTTTCTAAAACTTATAAAAAAATGCTTAAAATCTGGAACAAGAGAAAAGTCACAGGAACTCAATCTGGCAAGTATCGATCATGCCCTTCTCTTCGAGTATGTGAAGCACTGGGCAATTACTTATCTAGGAAAGTTACCATTTTGAGTGGATCTGCTCTTAATAGTTAGATCTTGCATCATGCAATTAAGACCGCCTGTGTAAAATGCAAGACCTGATTTGGGGAAATTTGCTCGAATGAAATTTTCTCGAATGAAGTTTGCTCGAACAGAATTTCTTTGAATGGAAACCTCCTCGAATTTTCCAAACAGAAATTATCAACATTATTTACAGCATTTTTCTACAACTTCTAAATCAAAACCGTTACTGAATTAAATATCCTCATCTCAATATAGAACAACAAATAGCTGCTATAGCTCGTAATATCCATTTATAAATTTTATGTTTCAAATCAAGCAGTTTCATTGATAGATAACTGAGATAGGTTTAGCTGTCTTGTTGGTATTTATCTGTAGCTGAAGTAATTTGTGTTCATCTTTAATATGTTTGGAAAATTCGAGGAGGTTTCCATTCAAAGAAATTCTGTTCGAGCAAACTTCATTCGAGAAAAT